TTGATCAGCTTGGAAGTTTAGGTTCCCATTTCTGGCAAGAGGGGTTTCTTGCAGATTAGAAGTGGTGTAAAGTTCCTCCTGCTTAGCAAATTGTGTTTTAAGTATAAACAGTTGCCCTGGCAAGTTTGTGCCTGAAGCTAGGTCATGATTGGATCTCCTCCAGCTTTCTCTCAGGACAGTGGTTAGAAGTCCTTTGTGGTAAGAAATGGAGGACCCTCTTCTTGAGGGCAGGCGGGAAACCCATGAGATGTTATCTGTAACTAGGGACTTCTCAAGAAATCAATATCTAGGATTGGTGATTGACTGTGTTGCAGCCCCTCAGAGCAAGAACTGGCCCTGGGGGTATTTTGTGGCCAACTAACAAGAGTGGCTGCAACATCCGGATATGACTGGGGTATTGTGATATGATTGCCCATAAGTCAAGGAATTCATCTGGGATACTAGTGGCAAACTGGCAAAGTACTGCTCACTGGACAAGACCTGCAGGATGCCTACAAAGACCTGGACAAACTCAAACGGCATCCACCAATTTCACATCAACTTGGACTGTGAGCTATCCCAGTCTCAACCCTCTCCCCCTCCCTGTCTCATGGCCCAAGATTCCCCAAGATCGCATTTTAGCAATGATATTAACAATGCACTTTTAAAATATGGAAATCTCAAGCCCATGTACCTAGTTTGTGAATCACCCAAGCTGTGGGGAAGCGAAGTCCCATGTGTATTTGGTCATTGTCAAGGAAGGAGAAACTCACCCCAGAATTCTAGACAGATGTTAGTGGCTCTGGAATTTAAATCACTGTGGGGTGGTCGCGACACTTCAACAAAAGTTACATTTTATGATTTGTGACGGTTGATCTTATCTCTCAGGACATGAGATAACTTGTCAGATATTTTGACAGAGCAATGAAAAGGTTAAAAGCTTGAATCATCTGGGGAAATTCTGTGGGATTTCTTCAAGTTTCTTTGAAGTGATAATGAAGACCTGTGACACATGACTGGTCCCCATCACCTGCCAGGGTCCATGATGTCCCACTTATGCAGGTTGTCCTTGACATGTTAGGTTCTCTCAAGACCCCCCCCATGAAATGAGATCAAAAAGTCATCAGACAACAGACAGGTACATGCACATGATGCCGTCAATGTTATTCTGCCATTATTAGTGGTAGCTAATGATGTTGCATAAGCCAAAATCACAGGAAAACATGCTCTGCCATGAGCACATATTGCTCATTTTGCTCTTTGGGACATTTTTGCCTGACCAAATCTACTTTTACTCAAATACCACAAATGTTCTGAAAGTGCTCAGTCAAACGGTAATTCCAAATCTTTCATATCTGTCACATCTTAATTTCATGTCTTCCAGGTCCATGTCTTGTCTGGTGCCTCGGCTGTTTTTTGACAGAAGCTGACAGCTACCTCAGTGAACATGGCTGTGGGGGAATAGGGCGGGCACTTACTCCCCCCCCCCCCAAAAAAAAATTAGAATTGAAAGGGGGTTGAGGAAAGAAAGAGGAGTGCAAAAGAAACGAAAAGAGGAAACTAGATAAACCCAACAATTTGTTGAAAAAAGGCCTCAAAAGTGACCCCTGTCCAATGGAATTGGTTTATGGAATCATTGTTGATAAGTGATTTGTTCCCCCCTCCTTGGAAAAGAAAAGTTTAACATCCCCCCCCAAAAAAATTCTTGGTGATGCCCAGTGAATCCCACTGTTCCAATCCTCAAACTTTGGTGCTGTAAGAGATAAGCAGGTGAAGGAGGGAGGTGACAGTGATTCATGAGGTGAGGGCAGTCATGGCACCATAGTGTTGATGGATGAGGCTGGTCTGCTGGCTGGCCCCGTCTTCCTCACACCTCACACCCCAGGCAGGCTGTTGTGCGAGATCTTAGCATGATGAACTGGGGCTCTGTGTAACAAACACAACCAGTGCTGCTGTAGGCCGAAAGAATGAAGTGAGCATATAATATTGTCCCAACCCAAGGCATTGGTAGCTAATAAATAGGTCGCAAAACTTCGTCATGATCATGTCTCATTAAACGTTTGTTTGCTTGAAGCCATGAGTTCGGAAAGGAGGGATGGTATAGTTGCTACAATTCTGATAAATTCCCCTCCTAATCTCTTGATAGCAAACTTGAAAAGGGAATATGATAAAAATTGCATTTTTATTCAGAATCGCATAATGCTGCCTTAAATCTGTACTTTCACTGTACTCTACATGCACTTTTTTGTCACAATGTTGTGTTCATGTTGCCTAATAGTTGGGACAGGCAGCTGCAGATCGTTTCTTCGGTTGAGCCTTTTCATCATGAATGATCCCTTTCCATCATGAATTCCATCATGAATTCCATCATTTCCATCAGTCTGAGGGCATTCCATGCAGTTCCTGCAGCCCTCTGTGTAGCCAACCTCTACAGTACAGAGCATTATGTGATGCACAAATGGAGTTACTCTTTCTCCACTGATATTTCGCATTCATCTCAACATTCTAAGGGGTATTTCCTGCTTTGACAGCTGTGTGAAAATTGAAACCTAAGCTGGGTGCTTGTATGAGATGGACACTCAGAGCAGTTTTTGAAAATGCAAATGTTTACATTGTGCTGTCATCACACAGTGAGCACAGTCAAATCGGAAAGTAAAGAAGGCGTGGCATCATGCACAAATGTACATGCCCAGGGTATTGACAAGTGGTGATTCAGCATGTTGGCAATTTGTATTATCGTATTTTACAGTTGTGTATACATACAGTACATTTCACTCACCTGTTGGCATTTGGACTCTTCTAAAGCCAGGCTGTGATAGTATATAGTTAAGAGTTAATGACGTGAGTAAAGATTAAGGTTGCGGACGTCATAACTGTTAACACCGATTAACTTTAGGGGGGGACTACAAATGATGCAGTAACTGTCAGACTGGCAGAAATTGAGCATCATTGCAATACAATTTTGAACAGTCCCTTAAGGGTTTTTAGCTTTTGTTTGTTATATTCCGTAAAGTTGCCGTTCTCACTTAATAACTGAAGAGGCAAACTTGAAAGTGAACGTTGGAGATCTGTGTAAACTCGAAGATGTTGTTTTGGATGACGATAATTAAGTTGTTTTGACTTGGAAATGCAGCTGTCTCGTAAGTGTGAAAAAAGTCTGCAGACACAATCCAAATGGACTGATAGCTCTTTGGGTTAAACTGGTCTTAATTGTTTGTAAGCTCTTCCACTCTTTAAGGCAACTCCTGCTAACAAAGACAAAGCATGGAAAATTCTGCAAACCACTTGGTGTGAGTGTTAAGTAAAAATTTGTCCCCCCTCAGCAAGGAATATAAAGTCATTGTTTAAAAAAGATAAGCGCTTAATGGAAATGTGTTAGTGCCAACAGTCTCTTGTTGAATACAGCAGCCTGTGGTAACAAGGGCAGAGTGGTTGCTTAAAGAGCGATTAAAAAGACTCTGGTCTGTTTGTTGATGTGCCAGTTCCCTGAGATGCAACAAAGGGCTCCAGTGGATGTCATTGTGTAGGTAGCTAGGCAGAGAGAATCTTAAACAGAGATTGATGATGGTTGCGATCAGGGCTTCTGAATGGCAGTTGTTTGCTTTCCCATTCAGCAGTGTAGCCCTCTGGCTGTGTTGAGAAGTTCTTTGCATCAACCCCTGAGACAGTTCCCCTTCTGCAACTGACCTACTACCTGATCAGTCTAAGGCAGGGATTTGTGGAGCTGTGATTGCCACAATCTTAAGATGGACCTCATTATTCTTTCCCGAGTTATGCATTCCCCATCTGAGTTTGTCCTGCTTCTTTAGTTAATGCACACAACCCCTGTCCCCCCCTCAAAAAAATCCCCCAAAGGCACTAGGTACACAGCTCATGTGTCCTAGTGCTTTCAGCCGGTGGGTCTTAACATTCAGATGATTACCCAAGCTTAACTCCAGCAGCTTTCAATTCGGCGGCTCAGACTGAAGACTGCCCTCCCTACCACCGCAAATTTTGAAGTTGCCACAACACAACACAAGACCTGAATAACGTAAACAGGCCCTGTTGCCTGGTTGTGGTTTTGCCTGCCCCCTTCAGCCCCTGCTCTCCTTCCAATAAGTGTAAACTGCCTCAAAGGTCTTTTTGAAAGGAGTAAATAGTTTGCACTGAATACCTAATTTTAGAACCAAGGGGCATGCAGGTCTTGTCAACACTGTAGAAAAACAATTGAAGAGGACTTGTTTTGGTGCAGACAGCTCTTCACCCCTATCCCCTCCCTTCTTCCCTCCAGGTTGTTACTAATTGTTGTTTATCGAATGAGAGTCAATTTGCCATGTGATGTGCATGGAGGTGCCTGTCCAAAATAGCTTTACAGAATTCCATTTCTTACCTCTGTGCCAACTTCTAGACAAATACTTCGAATCACTTGTAGACAGAACTTTGTGGAATTTTTAAGGTGTCTTCAAAGGGGGAACCATTGTAATTTTTATTGCACCCCGAATCCTGTTGATGAAAGGGAAAGAACTTGTTTGTGTTGGGCCAAACGATGAGACAAGTGTTTCTAGAAAGGGATGGGTGGTGAGGTGGTAAGAGTTCAACATATTCAAAGGTGGTAGAAAAATAAGTCAAACAATTTGGCAGCCATCAGATTGAGATGGAATGAAGGCACATTAAGAGACTTGAGATTGTGAGAGTGAGATAGAGTGTGTGTGTCAAGGTTGGAGGAGGCTTGAGAGATTGAAAGCACCACAGTGCACCAGCTGTTAAATGGAACAGGGCTTGTAATGTGAAATGCTATCTGGGGATGCAAAAATAAATTAGAGCGAGTCAAACATGGAGTCAAAAGTGAAGGTAGAACAGACAGTGTCATAAATGGATACCCTGGGAATTAGTTATTAGTCAGATAGGATGATATTGCTCCCCAGTATGAGATTGCGTGAAGCATTGCTTACTTACTCATGCCCTTCGTTGAATTCAAGTGTCATTCAGAATGGAAACAAATTCTAAACCAATCACTGTACTTGTTCGGTGCATTTTTTCAGGTGGTAATGAGTTGCCCAATCAGCCTTTCCGTCTCAACTGGTCTTGGATCTCTTTGGAACGTGAGTACTATGAGGTAAATGAGACTGACAAAGCACTGGAGCTCAAACTCATCCGACGTGGATACCTGGGCGAGACCTCGTTTGTTGGTGAGTAGTCATTTTACTCTTCCATCAGAATTAACTTGTCGAACAGGAGATGTGATTTAATTATTAGAATATGCATTTATTGGTGTTTGTGAGTTCAGAAACCAGAACATCTTTTAAAATGCTCTATAGTCTTTTTGAAATAAGCATCTGAATGGATTACAATTAAACTTTTTAGTTGTTGAAATCATGGGTTAAGCAGTGTCAAGCTACTTGACTTATATATAAGTGTGGTAGTCTGTTTGCACCGGTAACTTCCTGCTGAGGTTTTTGGTGCTCGTGTTAACCTGGTTCACCAACAGTGTTGTACTTTCAGGTCACCCAGAATGCGAAATAAATGTTCCTCTGTCAAGTGCAAGGAATTCAGATGGAGTGTGCAATCCTGTATCCATAGCAACCCTTCATCAATCAACTCTTGCCTTCACTTCTCTCCCTCCCACCTTCTCCAGGCATCAAGGCTGTTGATGGTACAGCCATTACCAATGAAGACTTCCGTGGCAAGTCGGCTCGCCAGGTTCAGTTTAACCCTGGACAGGAGATGGGCTTCTGGCGTGTGCGCATCATCAACGACAAAAAGTACGAGCAAGCTGAGGTGTTTGAGGTCATCCTGCACGATGCAGTCATGGGGGCCTTGGAGTACCCTGACCGTGCCCTGATCAAAATCTTGGACTCTGAAGACGGTGAGCTCTCACAGATTTCATAAAGAATTCTTTCCCAGAAATGACAGACCCTGAAAAATGTTGTAAGATTGTACTTGAAGTAAAGTCCATTGAAAGTACGCGTTAATGGTCTTGCCTTTTTGTTTGAAAACCCAGCACATATATAGTTTTAACAAAAAATGAGAGATGACAGAAGAAACCACATCTTCAAAGTGAATCCAAAAGCAAAATGTATTGAGAGTTTGCCATAGTAGCAGGTGAAAAAAAGCTCACCAATATTGTGTATGATTTGAATTTTTTTCTTAGATTGCCACTGTAAGTTGCTTCTAATGGCTCTGAGTATTTCTTGAGCTAAAGTGTTGACATGAAGGTATAGTCTGTTCATTGGCCTCCCAGTTTGAAGCAGATCAGCAAGGGTTACTCTTTATGCTCTTAGTTGTGGACATTGCATCCTTTAGGCATTGAAGAAAAGTTATCCATCCAGATAAAGGAGTACTTTAAGCACTAGTAAAATTTCAGATATATACAGTTTAGAATGAGCACAGTTTACCCTCCCTCTACATAGAATATGAATCACTTGGGGGGAAAAGGTGTTGGTATTTTAAGTAAGATCTTCTTGTGTAACTTCTTCCTTTTTACATTTGTAACTGTCTTCCTTTTTTAATGTTTTGGTTTGAATGCGAAGGCCTTCACAGCAGCATTTTGCTTGACAAACAGCATGTTAGTTGAGTAATTGATTGAGTGTATAGGCCGACCAAGAGAAATCAAGGATTTATTTTGGGCTTATTAAGAGCATTCCTCAGCAGCAATCAGCCCATTGGAAGCTGAAATTAAATGAAGATTTTGGTGGAGGATTAGGGCCGTTGACCAGGACTGGTGATAGAAGGACTGGATGGCTGAATTCACTCGCATTCAGATCTCGCCTTTGGAGTGAATGCAGCTAGGGGATTAGGTGGGCGTCAAAAAGAAACAGTGGCACTGAATTGGAAATGGGAGGGTGGCTGAAGGGGAGAAAAAGCCTGAAAAGAGATAATGGGATGGTCAGAATATGGGAGCCTGACTTTTGGAGCTATTTGGGTGTTGGTGGAGGCCAGTTGTCTGTTTAGGCATTGTGGGTCCTTGTTCTCTGGAGAAAGATGCTCCCTTGTGGTCATAGAACCTTTGTGCCTGTTCTCCTGGGGTTGTTAACCCCCAGCACTGTCACTCAGACATCAATGCAATGGAACCCCCTCCCCCCATAAAAACTGACAATTTAGAAGGAGGTATCATGTAGGAAAGCTTGGAGGTACAAACAAGACAGTGAAGCCTTTCTCTTTTTTTGAACCACTTTGATTTTGCCGTTTGATCAGTACATCACAAATGATTTTTAAAAACACAACAACCTTGTTTTGGAGTGGTGGATGTTGAAAAATAAACTGTTGAGAGACTGATGCACCTGATCAGCTTTGTCCCCCTTCCCTGCAGGGAAGAACTCTGAAGACTGAAAAGATACCGAAAAAGTGGTTAAAGAAATATTGAAATTTGTATAGTGCACTGCCTTCCAACAGGTCAACGGCACTTTCACCCTAGCTGTATACTTCTGCAAACCATTTTGTTTTCACCTTGAAATGTGTTTGAATTTGTTGGGGATCCCAGCATAAAGTAAACAGGCAAGAGAGGAGGGTAACTGTATCAAGCAGTCAGGGCAAACACCAGAACAAAATGCAGCCTGTAAACAGGCTGTTAGTGATTACAGTGTGCTGCAAGGCAGAGCTCCTAGAGATTCTCCTGAAGTGGACACGTCTAATGAACTGGAAGTGAGATTTTCAATAGATGGCTTTTCGATTGTTGAATGTGATGCCAACATTTTGCAGGCTTGAAAAGCGAATGATGAAACACCATTGGGGTTCTTACCAAAACACTGGAAGAGTTCAGATTTTTTGACTGCATAATCCATTGATCAAGTGCTGCAGTGAATTTAGGTGCATTTTAAAACCAAATCAGTTACAGCTGTAGAGATAGACTCGGATAGTTTCCTTTTCTTTTCCTACATACAGAATCCTATGTGTACATCGATGCTGATAGCCCCTACATTATCAATGAAGACATTGGGGAGGTGCTCATTCCAATCCGACGAGGTGGTGACCTTTCTGAGGAGATGATGGTCCTCTGCTCAACGATGCCAGGTACCAGATGCTGCCTTTTGGTCCTGCATGGCCTTAAAATTTTAAGAGAGTTTGCCAGGTTCCCATTTGTACAAACAAAATTTATCCTTGTGTAATTTTCAGTGCAGTTGTGGGGGATACGGGGATTGATTTTTCATAAGAATTACATTAACTTTGGCACAATCAATTCACAAGGTTTTATTTCTTTTTGGAGCTGCAAGATAATAGGCATGGATTTTCTAGCAACTCTCCCACGCACCAAATTGGCAAAAGTAATGTGCCCTATTTCTGAAGTTTTCATGAATGTGTCCAGCCTGACAGTGAATGTGTGGCACATGGACACATGTGGTTTTGATTTCCATGCTCATGGATCTGTACCAGTATGCTATATTTAAACTCTCCATGTGGCATTCATTTCATCACAAAGCTAGTATCACCTACATGCTACTTTCTGTTTTCACTGGAAGAAAAACCTGCTAAAAGCTGACTCATTTTTGGCATTCTCTCCTCCACTAAAGCATGCTGATCAGTCCTCACTAGAGATTTCGATACTTTTTTCTTCACTGTATGAATAAAAACTGACATTGGTAGTCTTCCCCATGGGTGTTCTCATACTATACAACACTGATCCCTGTGTCGAACTCAATAACCCACAGGCTCTTTTGTGGAGTTTTCCCCTGGGTAGTACTCAAACAAGCCTGGGGACATAATGGGTCACAAGGTTTAACACACACTGGGGACCTGACCATAATTAAGTTATTCCAGAGGACAGAATTCAGGACTTGTTCCTGGACTTGTGTTTCCTTAGAGGAGACATCAGTGATATATTCACATGTGGAATTTACTTAACAGCATAACTTTGTTCTGTTATCTGCAAGACTGGGCAAATCTCACAGGCACTGACCTTATCAAAACCAATAACGGAATCAGAAATTTGAGGACTTTTGTTCAAGTTAAGGGTGTACCTTGGGGGAGGTTTGCCAATAGTGGCATTTAGGAGACAGGTGGTGAACAGTTAGCCTTGTTTTCTAGACTGACCAGCAAAGGGTGTCACCTAACCATGAATTCAAATCTGACAACTTCATTCACCATGTTCATCAATTGTACTCCTACATACCGTGGGAGTTAGAAAGCGAGGACTGAATTGAGCTTGGAATTGCTAGTTATAACAGTTTCACTTTGAATAGCTTTTATTCTTCCAAACTCACGTATGAATATGGGGGGCATTTTTTTACCTGATACACTTTTCGGTTGGGGGGGGATAAATTGTGCCAATATGAAATGCGGAACAGCAATTTTAAGAATGCGGAAGACCGATCAAAAGATTACCTGCTTCACTGATTCCACATACTTTTTTTCCTTTTTTGCCGCTCTTTAAAAGTAAACCTGAACAAGGCTCATCACCAGTATGCAATACTTGCAAGGCTTGGTCATTAATGTATTTACTTAACCTTTAAACTGACATAGGCACAGCCACTGGTGCTGATCCTTCCCCGGTCCACTCCTTCAATGATTACATCAGCCGTCTGGAGGATGACAATGACAACTTTGTGCGCTTTGACAAGGACGAGGACCTGGCCTACTGCCGAGTGCTCATCATCGACGACTCGCTGTACGAGGATGATGAAGACTTCCAGGTCAAACTGACCATGCCCATGGGAGGTCGCCTGGGCGAGCCCGCCCAGATCAATGTGGTAATTGCCGCCGATGCTGCTGATGGTGAGTTCATGCGGAACAATTCTTCTGAGGGGAATGGGGGAAATAATTGACAATCTTCTTGTTGATTTGCTTGATGGCCATCAAAACAAGAGTTTATATTCACATTTAAAACACACAAGGCTTTCAACAATCGTCACATTAGTATCAGAACTCTTGGGTGTTCAAAAGGATTTGCAAAGAGGCAAGATTAAAGAAGTCAAATAGCAAATTGACGGTGGAGATCAAACTCTTTAGCCATGTAATGCTAGAATGCACTCGGCCTCAGGGCAAGGTTAAAACTTAATTAAAATAATCACCAAGGTGAAAGAAATAAGTGTAAAAGTCCATCCCAAGGTTGAGGTATTGAACCCAGCATATTTCAGCCTACCAGTTGGCAGCACATTGCTTCATGCTTATGTAGGCAACACTTGATACAAATACATGCCCAGTATGCACACGGGAAGGGGTGGAGGAAGAAAGGAAGGGGAAAAAACACAGAAAAGCCTCAGTCTAGAGTGACAGTGTTTTTTCCAGTGTGTAGCATTATATTTCCAGAGTTTTATAAGGGGAGTTAGTTAGCATTCCTTTCACACCCCTGGTTATGGTCTACTGGATCTACTCTTGTCTGGCCCAGTGGTGACCCCTGCAGTACCTGTAGGCATGCTGGCACGCCATGGATCTCCTTATTCCAGATCATTGGAGCTGAAACTAAGTGTGTAGAGCTAACAGGTGTCGTATGATCCTGTGCAGGAGTAGTCTCAGGTGTACCTCAGAATTGTGGCTATTGTGAAACCGACCCGTCCTCATTTTGAAAGGGATTGAAATTTCATGAGCTGTTTACATTATGCATTGCTTAGTGTGAAATGGCTTACCGCACAGATAGTACACTGCAGTAGACAAAGGAACACAACTGAAGACTGAAATGTGGTGTGCATTTTCTTTGGTGTTTTTATGAAAATGGTGAAAATGTCAATCGGAAACCAACAATTTGAGTATTCATTTTGGAAAGTGCTAACATGTGTTCTGCAATGTTTCTTTTGTGTTGTTACATTGTGTTTGACAGCCAGCAGGATTAAACAAGTTCAACAGAAACATTACAAAATCAAAGAAACCTAAATCATGCTTTATCACTCAGACAGTTAAGAACTAAAATGGTTGTATATAAGATGCTGGAAATCTCAGATTTTCAATATCTCTTGGCAAACATGGATCATTTTTCTGATGGAAAATTACAGTATACATGACAAGCCTCCCCATATCTAGTCAAGCATTTAGTTGTGCGTGGATATCTGTAACTGACAAAGACAGAAAGTACATACATTGTGTTGTGTGTATATATAACTTTGTACCATCCAATAATGTCAAAATAATGCCACTCAAAAGGCGTGAACCAAATTGAAGACAGGGTCTCCATTGTTTCCCTATTGAGGCAAGTTTTCAAAGGTTTATTCATTAAACATGAAACGTTTGTCATTTTGTATTTTTTTTCTCCCTTCCACTCTTTGTTACATGGAAAATTGGCTCACCTATGAAGAGTTGTTTCCCTGAAAGCCATCTTTGGGCATTAAAACGTAGAAAGTGATTTTGACTGAGGGAATTTTGTCCCATCTTACTCCATCCTCTAGGGGTGGCCATACCTGCCACAAACATTCTTTGTGTTGGGCAGAGAAAACTTGAGTGCCCCAAGTGTACTCTTGTGGAAGATGGAAATATTCTCAATTTCACAAGGTTGTTTACTTGGAAACCACTGCTTAAGATTGTATAATACAACCCAGCATATTGTTGGAAAGCTGAGGTTAATTTGTGGTTCCCAAGAAAAAAAAATCTCTCAGCCACGGCAAGATCAAAAGAGACCAAGTGTCCAGTTCTCTTTCAGAGTATGCTTGTAAATATTGCCAAATCATATGCCTTTCTGAACTTGGCTAACACAGAAGTTGTGCATGACTGGCTTAAATACCCCTGCTGTAGTTGTATTCATTTCAAGCATCCATTGCTGTACCAACCAAATACATTTTATTGGCAGAATTTGCATCAGTTTGGGTGAGAATTTTCACAAAGCACTCAACTTCCTCCTGATTTTGTGTGGGTATTAAACAAGAACTCTAAAGCTTAGCCAGTCACTGAGTTTTAACAACACCTGGGGATTTTTTAAAACTAGACTCTGAAAGGAGGATTACACGAAATGCACCAAAAACCCCATTCAGACCTAAATTTTCTAATATTGTGGTGTCCATTCAAAACAGATCACTTTAGTCATTCAAAAGTCCTTAGGAAAATACGTCTACACGTGTATCTGGGCAAATGCAAACAGGCCTTGTGGAGCAACTTCATATTTTGAATATGGATTAATGAAACTCGCTGCGGGGGCTAGTGGCAGTGCTAACTTCTGTTTTCCTTCCTCCACTAAAAAGGCATGCTTCATTGCACGGTATGCTTGCATTGACCGTTGACCCTGCACAGAAATCCCTCAGAACTGTAAGAGAAGCTTCTACATTGTGGCGTTATGAAAAGTCCTGTAGGTTACCAACTGAATTTTCAGTTTTGTGCATAGTGTTGCCTTCGTCTTCCTGGGACATTTTCATGCAGTTCCAATGGTTTCAGTGAGCTGGTCTCTTTCAGAAGTACATGTAACCCCCCAAATTACCCTGCCCTTATACCTAAATTTGGTTAGTCCATCACAAAAGTTTATGTTATTTACTAAAAAACGAAAGTGAATCCTTTTTTACCCATGCTTGGATTGGAAACCAATACTAAACCAAAAAGTGAACCTGGGGCATTTCCTTTTTATCTATTCAGTTTTGGGGAGGATCACGGTTCACAGATCAAAGGGAGAGAGTATTGTGGAAAGACACAACACGTAGTAGAAAAAGCAGTGCAGATGTACTTTCCATTGTACCTGATTCTCTCTGATCAGTTTTCTCTGTTGCAAAGGAACAAAAGAGGCATTTGTAACTATCACGCTAGTGTTCTCAGTATCAAGGCATGTACCACTGCTCTTACTTTTTTGGGGGATGCATAATTTTCCCCTTCCCCAGTGTTTGGAAGGAAGGAAAAGAGAAAGCAAACCACGCTGCTGTTGATTTATTGGTTGGTGTGGTGTTTTTCACAGTACCCTGGGATTAGGATATGTGAAGGGAAGCACATCAAACCCAGGCACCAGGAAAGGAAAAGGGGAAAGTGCTGGCCCTGATATGTCAGGATAACAGACCCTTGCCATCTGGAGTTCAGGCAAGAAAACCTGAGGCCTATTTGGGGCTACTACTCAAGCATCAGATATTAATGTCATGGTTGGCAAGTTCTTGTTATCTAGTTATCCAGCACAACTCTATTTTACAAAATTTCTCTAACATTCTTTTCATGTCAGATATCGGTAATAGCCAGCTGCAGCAGTACACATGCTGCGGAATGCTTGCATGAAAAAAAGTTGGAAATGGAAACATGCTTTTTCAGGACTTTGTTATCAAATAAAGGTGGCAATAACTGGGGAAGTGGATATTTGGAATACATTAACCCTTCCAATTGTGATCTCTCCTGATGTAATGTAATTGGTACATAAAAAGCCACAAAACCAAATCCCAATCTCTCCTGGCAAACACCAAAGGTGTGCATACCACAATTTAGAATCTTGCAACCACAATGGGTGGTCTGTAATGTGTCTGCACAGGGAGCCACTGATATTTTTGTGCCTGCCATGGCTTGTGGTCCAAACAGATCAATTTTTGTACTGCTGATTCCTGCAGCGGCATGAAGCTGTGAGGCCATGCGGGACATGTGTGAATGGGCAAAGTTTTTGCTTACAATGTTTCAGAATTACTCAATTTGGAATCACTTGGTTCTCCAACCACTTGAAAAATTTGATGTCCAGCAGCAACTCTGATCAGCATTTTTTCAGCAAGTGTCCCATTGGGATGTTTATATTGATCATGTTTGGCAATTCAATAAAAATCAATTACATGTTGATTCCTTACTCAAACAGCTCAGCATGGAAGAGACAGCTGGCTGCAGATGTCAAAGATCACAGGGGAAAAAAGGCCCTGTCTCTCTGGAAATTAGCACACTTAGCAAAGCTGTCCTGGGTGTTTACATTGATTACTAAATCTTGAACAAATTGATGTCAAAAGGAAGCTGTTGCCAATGACCAAATGCAGCCGCTATTGTAAAATTGATTCCTTGGCCCAATTTCTTGAAGGATGTGGTCCTGGTGACTCTCTTAGATTTGTGAATATAAACATCTGTTTTCAAGGGCTCACTTTAAGTAGGAAGTGACAAAGAAAAGCTCTCTGTCATTGGCGGGCTTACTCAGTTCATCAGAAGGAGGGCAAAGGAAGTCACCTTAACACAGTGATGACTGAAGTTGGTAATAATCGAGTTTGCAGTGGGCGGTGTTGAGCAACAGTATTAAAGCAAAAATGTATGAAAAATTGTTAGTCCTGTTCTTTGTAGACTTTGTGAAGCTATTTTAGATTTGTTTTATTTTGTGTTTTGGCTGTCATTGCTTGAACATCAGTATGACTATGAGGCAATGCGGACATCCGGGAATTTTGCAAAATGGCTGGTAGCAACCAATGAAAACAACTGCAATCAACGCATGCGTACGTATGTATGATTGTGTAATCCGATCTTCTGCCTGCCTGGTGCATTCGTACGTTGCCATGGTTGCCGGTTTCATAGGTTACTACCCACCATTTTTCAAGAGTCCCAGATGTCCACACCACCCCATAAAGAAATGCATATACTTAATTGGGTTTGGTCCCCCCATTTTGTCCAAATCACAAAGTTTTTTCCAAGTAAGCTATAAATTTAAAGGTCTACACTGCCAAAAGCATTTGAGGTTTTGTCATTTGTGAGTTTTTCATTCCACATGTCAATACAGTAGCAGAAAGGAATATATTATTATTAGTTTTTGGATGTATATAAGAATTTGAGATCAGCATTTGGTCACCTGTGACAGGAAGCCACTTCTCTTGTTTTCATATTCCTGAATTTTTTGTCTTGTCTTACACAGAACCCTCATTCTACTTTGGTGAGGCTGAGTACCATGTTGATGAGAGTGATGGCTACCTGGAGGTACAGGTCTGGCGCACCGGCACCGATCTGTCCAAGATGGCCAGCGTCACCGTGCGCTCCCGCGCTTCAACCCCTCCCTCTGCTATTGGTGGGTATACACGTTCCCATTCCAGATGGAAAAGGGTGTTCTAGGAAGGAAGGGGAGTGGCTCTACATGGGGGGGCTTTTCAAATGCTGTGATGAATTCACTGCCTTTTGAGTCAAAGGTCATCAATTATGGAACTTTTAGCCTGATAAGCATTGGCTTGGCCCTTTCACCTTGATCCCAAAGTAGTCTAATTTTTTCAGACAAATTCCACATTACTGACCTTTCTGATATTTGCCAGGCTCCTCAAGATTGAAATGCATTGAACCGGAGATCTGTTGCCCATCAGTGACTTAATCTTTCTGGTAGACACAAAATCTGATACAACACAGATGGTTCAGAAGATCACCCTCCCCTTCGGCCACTCCCCGCCGCCCCTCTCATGAGATGATCATGTTCAATGACCAAGGAAATCCCCTTATAGATTGAAAAAGTGGGGTGGATTACATGTGTTTGCATTACTCACAAACTGTGTCACTCATCATATGCCAGTGGGTCCTCATTTGCTCCCAGGAGCCAGAAATCCATTCCACAAATTTCAAACTTCCTGTTGTGTGTTCCATCCCCCCTCTTGACACGCAAATGCTGGCTCTTAAGTGAATGTTCCGCCAGTGCTGAGTAATTGTTCGTCGCTAATCACGTAACTTTGTCTCTTGTCCCCTGCCGTCTCTCGTTCACCCCTGCAGGACACCAGGTAATGTGTTGTTTGTCTTGTCTCTCTTATTGGAGGGGGCAAGTTGACCAGGCATGGATGTGGCATATAAACACATTCATAAATTACTCGTAGGATCTTTTAAGTACATTGAGATTGAAGAGCCATATTCAGAAAGGCATACTCGTCAGCAGATGTTGCTGATGCTTGGAAACAAAAATGAAACTATTACTGGCTGTAGCTAGTTATCGTGTGTATTATTATGTACCCAAGTTCATTTGAAACTGAAACTTTCAGTGTCTACTGTACTTCACTCTGCAAGTGTCTCTGTGTCTGTCATGCAGACACAAGTATACTACTTTTCATTCAGAAAAGTTTTCTAGACACTGAATCTGTCAGTTTCTTCTTACATGGGCATATTTCTTTCAGTTTTGGAAGTAATGGACTTCAATCAGTAGAACTGAATGTTTTTTCATTTCTTTGTGTTTTTTTTTATTTTCTGGCACATGTGTAGAAAACATTTGGGGTAGTTTCAGTCGTCACCTTGGTCTGTGTTGTAGAGAAATGTTTGTGTAGCCCTGCCTTCCATTTCTAGTTGCGTTCATGCATGCTGCCTCTCCAACTCCAGATTTATTTGGATTGGATAATGCATTTCACCCCCCTTCATTGGTGGTGGTGTTTGCTTTGACAGAACCCCCATCTTTTCTCAATTTTTTTCATTTCTGTCATTTTGGTGTGATGGTTTGTCAGTAAGAGGTAGCAACACTTGATGGTTGTAGACGCAGATGTCAGGTTTCTGGCCTAAATGTCATATGATGCAGCTTGATTATGCAGTTGGTTTTCAGTTTAACATGCTAGTTGAAAAGTAAGGTTTTATGCTTCGCAGTGCTATGAAAGTGGGCCACAGAAGAGAATAAATTGCCATAGGGGGGATTTATTTTCTGCATTGGCACGCGAACAACTCTAGGAACAGGAAAGACAGGAAGACATTCTTGAGACCACATGTGGCTGGATTTGTACTGGAAGTATGCGTGATTTAGGCCAACAACACCAAAATAGGTGCCAGGAAGTCAGAGTGGGGGGGGGGTTTCTGAATCGAGTTATGCCAAAGGAATATAGTGAATGTGGGATGGTATTCCTTTTTGTTCTGTAAATGGGCCGTCATTTTTATTTTGGAGTTTCAAAATGACTTCAGCAGAACCCTTGTGATACATGTCACCACTTAGTATTATGAGCATCCTGTCATTATGTCTACTGTTAACCTTGCCCTTGTCAACCAACATTTCATTGACTTGCATATTCTTTGACAGTTCCGTGTCATAACCAAGTCTACATAACTTGAGCATCACTGCTGTGACAAGATGTTCTTTCTTCTTAAAGATTGACCTTTTTCCCTTCAAAAGCAATGAAGAGATGGTACTCCAAAAGCAACACGTAAACAACTCAACAAAAGAGAATAAAAAATAGACTTTGCTAGGTGGTAATTTGTTTTGCTGAGGGAATTTGCCCTCCCATTTTCTCAGTGTCTCCACTGGATAATGTACAGTTCAAAGAATGCTGTTAAACCATTTTGGACCCGTCTTTCGTGCATGTCTGTTTCCTTAGCCATCAAATGGCGTGCCTTATTAATCCTGCGCGTACTTCACACATATTTTCAATGTGTCGTGTAAAATGTTTCCTGACCATTCCACAATCACTTTCCATTGGGTGCAGCTGTTGCCAGGTTGCCAGTGTATCACAAGATGCTGAATCATCCTGTGTGCTTGTTAGCTCCTTGTCCACGGCCGTTTATGTCACAGTTGGACAGCTATCCCTACATGGAAACACGATTGTTTATGTGCTTGAACCAGATTTTTAAAAGACACATTTTGTTACTCCATAGTGAAAAAGTGTTTGTTCGCCCCTTGGGAAAACAAGACTTTTACAGCTCTATGAACTCTGTGAAATTTCTATTTTGGGGGCAGTGTCTTGCAGGACTCACTTTTATCTGTTTGATCTTCACATTGGAAGCATTTCCTGGACGAGGACAAATTTGGTTATATTTTGAGTCCCCAGTCATCAATTATATCATTTACTTGTGTTCCTGCATTTTCCCTTACAATTTGTCAATCTGTCAAGATTTTCAGACAATTTACTGTTGAACTTTTTGAGCAAATACGCTTTGCAATCTGTTTGTATTTGAAGTTAAATGGCAGAAGTCAAAATGTTATAAATAAAATCAGGGCCAAATCAAGCTTTGGCTAGCCGTCCCCTCCCCCCACCCATAACCAGCCACTCCTTTGACATCTCATTGCACACTTCCTTGTGCTGAAAGGTGCAATTAGGTTCAACGGAAGCCTACTCTGACTGGGTCATCTCATCGTGACGTAATTTATTTTTAGTGGCTTTTTGTCAAATTTTGAAAGGCTTAAATTGTGTCACCATACATGACCTGCCAGAAAGGCTGCTCGCTCACAATGGAGATAAAAAAGGTCAAAGAAGTTGAGCTTACTCGACAAGTATTCCTTTAATGTACCTTGTTAAACTAAGTTCTTTCTTCTGTAGCTGGTTTGGACTATGCTGGAATCAGCCGCAACCTCGACTTTGCCCCTGGTGTGACCATGCAGAATGTGCGCGTCTACATCATGGATGACCTGGGCCAGCCATTACTGGAAGGACCTGAGACCTTTGAGCTGGTGTTGCGCATGCCCATGAATGCTGTGCTGGGTGCTCCTGCCCTGTCTGTTGTTACCATCAATGATACCGTCTCTGACTGTAAGACTCCAGGCCCTTGATCATTTCAAGAAAAATAAAGCTAACCTTGCTGACTCTTTTTTTTTAAACCAATTTTTAGATAAGAGAAAAAGCTGTCTATTTCAAATTTGGACGTGCAAAACATGAGGCATGTCATGTCATAGCTGCACATCATCTTTGTGGAAACAAAGTTTTAACACATGGCATATATTTTGCAGTTCACTGAATATTTTCGACAACTGAGAAACTTGTTGAATGCTACAAGTTCTCTCTTTTCCTGCACTATGTATTTAAATTGTTGCATTTTTAGATCTGTCTTACCTGAAAGTGTGCGGTAGATTGTTAGTAATGAAAAGGGAGTTATATTCTCAGTTGAGTTGCAATTACATTTGGGTTTTTTTTCTCAGTGCCCAAGGTGGAGTTCCGTGATCTGACCTATGAGGTCAATGAGAATGATGGCACAGTCACGGCAACCATCATCCGTAGCGGTGACCTGTCCATCACCAGCACGGTCCGCTGCTATACCCGGCAGGGATCAGCCCAGGTCATGATGGACTTTGACGAGCGGCCCAACATTGAGTCTTCCATTGTCACCTTCTTGCCAGGTGAGACTCTGACTCTGTCTCAAATCTGTGCCACCCTTCCCAACTCATGATTGTTTTCTTCCGCCCATTGCTCATTAAAACCATGTGCTAGCGTAAACATCCTGAGTTTAGCAGTCAGGAACAGGGCACTTAAAAGATACATTCATGTTGTTCCTGTGAGATCTACTTCCATCCGCCATTAAACTCTTGAGACAGCACGTACAGGCTGTTTCAATCACCCCTCTTTGTGCACAACATCCTCATACCACCCACCCCCCTGTGTGTCACCCCAACACATGGACAAGACATTTTGTCTCTCATTCTCCTCTGGATCCCAGAGGGAAATCAATTGACAACAGCCGGTGTGTGTAGTGTCAGTTTTTCCATGTCTATCATTGGTAATTTGTCATTGGACATGAGGATGAGTATTTGCCCGATGGCATTCTTTTTTGAAATAGTTGATGGGGGCAGCTTTGGAGAGCATTGTTAATAGGTTGCTTCCTTGAGACATTCTCTCACCGAAGTTCCTATTCCCCTGCCAACCCAGTGAGACATTGGTCCCACTGGTATTGCAACTTATTTCCTACCCTGTGCAAAGGATGGCCAGCCAAATATCTGAACCTCTTTGCAGGGGAAAAAGCTTCATAAAAATACATGGGTGGTAGCCTTACAAGACAAATGTAAGGAATCCATTGCTTGGAAAGATAACTTACTGAGCAAAACAAATAGGGAACCGATCTTTAAATTGAACAATGCAGTATTGTATTCTGACTGGTAAGCCTAATCAGATATTAAGCAGAATTCTGTTACCCTGTACGCTATTAACAAACTACGCTAAATTTGTTTTGGTTATACGTAGTATGTAGCAGAGACATGATGCCGATTCATTGAAATGCATGTACTCATCAAAAAGAGATGTGGAGTTATTGTTTGTTTCTCTTCCCCAGGTGAGCGTTCCAAGGAGTGCACAGTCCTGCTGATGGATGACAATGAGTACGAGAACGATGAACAGTTCCGTCTGGTTCTGGGCAACCCACGCACTGACTCTGGACTGCAAGCCATGGTGGGAGAACAGAATGAGACCACCATCACCATCCACGACATTGGAGACAGTACGTACCAGTTTGTGACTCCTAGATAATAAACGAGATTCTGACCCTGCTGAACTATTGAATCCTCCAAACTTCATGGTTGAGGAACTTGATTAGATATTCGTAAGGCTTTCAAAGGTGGTAAGGCCCCATGAAAAGAAACAGTGACTTTGCTTGACTTTTATCTGTCCCTCCAAGTCTTTTAAAACCTGGTGGATTTTTAAACATCTGTCGAATAGTGGGTAGAGACGATGATTGGTGTTGGGTGTTTTTCATGGACTGCACATTATAAGTTCATTGACTTCATGTTCTGGGGGGAGGTAGCCATCTTCTGAAAAACAGATTAATGAGAAGAAGAAAAATGCCTGTGGTTTTTGCAGTGGTGGATCCGTCTGCCCTATCTGGTGACCAAATTTGTTTGTTCCTTTTAGGGCCCATCATCAAGTTCCCCGAGACCAGGTTTACCGTGAACGAGCCGACCAATGAAAATGAAGTCAACACTGTCCGCATCCCCGTCATCAGAATGGGTGACTCCTCCCAGGTGTCCATTGTTCGTGTCTTCACCAAGGATGGTTCAGCCAAGAGTGGCATTGACTACAACCCACTGTCTCAACGTACGTAGAAGCGTTGCTTTATCGTATCATTCATTTGTTTACTTGTATGCGGTATCTTCAGTCTTTGACTAAACTTAACTCTTCACTTGGATGCAGCTCCGACATTCTCATGAATATGGGTAAAACACTGTGATAGTTCAAACTGATTTCTACTGAGTAACTTCAAAATATCATCTGGCACCTGCAGACCCATTCTGTTGGGTTAGATCACATACAAGCCGGAATACAGTACACCAAACAGTGTTTTATTTGGCACTCATCGGGTGGGGGGGATCATTGAGACTGCCGGTCTTTATGACATAAGCAGTTTATGTGTATTGGCAGGGGGATGTATACAGGTTGCCCACCTGTTTACTTCATCCTGTTCTTGTTAGTATCCCAAAAAGGCAAGGAAAGGTCTGCCTCATTGAAACTGGCAGAAAACGTTATAAAATTCCCTATTAAGATCCTTCAATGTACACTTTCCTGCTTGCGTGTCTTGCTGGGATTTAGCCTCAGTGAAGTTAATTTCCTACCAAGACTTTGAAAGGTATGTCATTTTTACCACTTCCAACACCCATCACATTAGACTTTGAAAAGTATGTCGTTTTTACCACTTCCAACACCCATGACATTTATCATTTAATGGTGTATTTGGTGATAAAAAGGGAGCACATTTTCTTCCCTCCAAAACATGCATTTCCATGGAAGTTAATCAGTTTGGAAGTGGAGTTTTTATCTGGACGTTGTCAGAAGGGGTCAGCCTTTCATGGGATCAATGCCAATATCCTGCTGTGTTAGCTGATATGCATCAAAGTGAAGCAAACTCAAGCGCGTCCATAGGGTCAAGGTTTTCTTGAACTGTATATGACCAACTATATATGGTGTAGTTTTTAATTATTTTGGGCTGGGCACAAAACAATCTGGAATGTTAAGATTGGTGTAAATGGAAGAAATCATCACATGTGATTGAGGGCATAAATGTTTGGCCTTTCTCATTCTGTGGAAATTTGGTAAGAAATTTACACATTACAGATAAGGACTTTTGGGGGATCATTTTTTTCACTTTGGCATCTGGATTTACTTCCCTGTCAAACATGGGTCATGTAATTGAATGTTGCACATACAGGTCTGCTGGGCCCCAAGGTCATGACCCTTGATGACCTTAGCTTTGTCAGCTTTCATTCTCCATGAGACTGAACAGTCTACCCATCCCTGGAAAGTTTGGCCTTCCATTCACAAATTTAATTGGTTAGACCTTGTGAACAAACTGTTTTTAACTGTTGTTTTGCATTACATTCAAAGCAAGACCACTTAATGCTCACTTTGCTCAAAACAACATATCAGCTTTTTTCCAAGCAGAAATGTTCTCTGTTGAATGGTAACACAGATTTCTGTGCTTTGGGATATTATAAATTAAAGGAGGTCATTTTCATGTTCATTTTTTTCAGTCAGGAAATGAACTTTGCTGAAGATAAGCCAAATTGTTCCTCTCAAACCATGTTGGACCTTGAGGGGCTGTCAGTGGGCTTTAAGTGTGACCCAAACATGACTCCCAAACCCATATCTGTTATGTATTCATTTGTCCAGTGTCCACCTGCCCCATTGGCTTGACAAAACAAACAATCCCTAATCCAGCATTGCACCTTGACAAGTCATCTGGGAACCTTTCAACAGCTCCTAATCAGTCCTGAGTTGAATAGCTCAGACATCACTCAGAATACCAGTCTCTCCACAGCTGTCAGGCTATTGGCCCTATTTTATAAGGTCTTGAGTGAAAGCAGACAGGGGTGTGCTCAACCACCTTAACAAGGTCTGGCTTGACAGGACATTTTTTTACCTGGAAGAGGTCATAACATTTTAGAGTAAACTTTTCAAACTTTTTAGTTTTCTCAGTGAGGATGTGACCTTGATGAACTAAAAAGATGTCTCCTAAATTTGGTTGCAAAGTAAAGCAGCATATGAATGGGGTTAATTTCTGTTTATTTTGACAGAATGAAAAACTGCCAGCAATCCGCTAAAATCTTGCAGATTTAATAAGATCAGACGAACACCATTCATAAATTTCCAAGTCTGTGCGAGAAATAAGGAAATGTAATTACACTGTTCAGCTTACCTACGTACACATGAGACATGTACACACTATCCAGAAGAGAGCTTGAAGTGTCATCTATTTTTGTGACAGGCCAAGACAAATTTAGTATCCATCAAAGTACACTTTATGTCATGGAAGGTGCAGCAAAATTTGTCCAAGTGAAATAGGAAGATAAAAAACAACATAATTTTGCAATATCACAGCCGGTTAACTGAAAATCTTCAGTTTCAAAACTAAAAACAATGAATGTGGAACTTTAGAAGGATGTGTTTATTAAAGCATATTGTGCATTCTCATTGAAACCAGCATTACTCATCGTAATAAGATCTCCACTTCCTACAGCAAAGCAACTTCCCTTTTATCCACCTAAGTAGGTAAATCCTGAAATACAAGTAGCACCAGACTGGGGGGAAAATATCATTCCTTGGAAGGTTGGGGACTCAAAAACCCTGCAGCGTTTTCTCACTCAGCAGTAGAATTCGTGGTCCCCTGGGTGCGGGCTAGCTTAGCACTAGAGACTTGTTCAATTACAATGGATGTAAACCAACTATGACCCCAGATGTGTCAAGCCTGCGCTAATAACATGGCCCCACTGGTTAACCCCTCTTTGGATCAGTGCTGTTCAGCAAACCAGGTTTTTTATTTAAAGGGATCCCTCAATTATTTCTTCCCTTCTTGTGATGGTTCACTTTTGGTGGCCATCTCCAATTTTTTAATTTATTTATTGACCTGAATTCTAATTCATGGTCCTCAGCAAACTTTGTGTCTTGTCATTAAATATTGCAAACCAGTGCCAGGCTGTTTTGAATGTTGGTGCTGACAAATACTGACAGATGTTATCATTGATCTTGGGAATGCAGAACTGGAGTTTGGCTTCAACGTAACTGAGCTTTATGTGGACATTGAAATCTTGCCGGATGAGGACAGAAATGAGATGAGGGAAGCTTTCACTGTTCACCTGACTATGGACGACAACATGATTGCTGAAATCCAGGTAAATAAATAGTGAACAAGCAGCAACAAGTCATGTACCGTACTGTAATAATGGAATATCAACTCCTTCCACTTTTATTCAGGGTCCTCGGTAAAACAAGGGTATCTTGCCAGGGGACAGCCAATTAGGTTAAGTCCACAAAACTTATAAAAATTTAGTCACCAACTACATACATGTGTAACATTTTAAAAACCATGAAATCATTTATTAAATGAGTTACATCGTTGTCATGTTGGATGTGTTGCAGATGAACAAGGCCTTAGTTTACATCGAGCAAGAAGGCCAGCTGTCAGGTGTTACCTTCCCTTCTGCACCAATTGTTGTCTCTCTCCTGGACTACGACAACGTTGAAGTGGCCAGAGAATACCCACCACGTGGTTACCCAGTTGTCTGCATCACAGTAAGTTGCCCTCCCTTAGTCTTACAGTGTTGTCATTTGTGATTGTGAATTTTGTCGGTCACTTTGAAACGAGTCCACTTTGGGGGGCACAAACTGTATTGCATAACCTTAAGGCCAACACTTTTGAAACCTGCATTGTTACTTGACAAATGTTCCCCTTTTTTCCCCAGCCCTGTAACCCCAAGCACCCAGACTATGGCACCACTGGCTCCATCTGTAGCAACGAGGGCGTCAACGACACCCTGACACAGTTCCGCTGGCTGGTATCTGCCCCAACCACCACTGGTGGAGTCACCTACCCGCTCAGAGAAGTGGAGAGCAACACCTTCTTCACCGACTCTAACATGGTGAGATGCAATTTTATATGCAGCTTCCCAACATGTCTGCATTGCCACCATTATGGTTCTAGAAAACAACAATAAATTTCATAAGTGGACCCCCTGGAAGACCGTTAGATGATTGTGGTAAAATGTCTTGCTTCAGGATACAATTGCAATATTCTTTGCATAGTTTGACTGACAACTAGCCTGCTTTTTTATTCAAAGACTTCTAGGGCCAAATTGTAAATCATACATATTTGGACTTGCGATGAACACATGAGTTACATTTCCCTTGCTTCTCAGATCACCCTGGACAGCATCTACTTTGGCCCCGGCTCCCGCGTGCAGTGTGCTGCCCGTGCCGTCAGCACCCAGGGTGACACAGGCCGGGAGCACACCAGCGTGCCCGTCACCATCAGTACCGAGGAGGGGATCTGCTTGCCTCGGTTGGCCGAGGCCATAGGAGCTGAGCCATACACTGCTAAGCTCAAATACACTGGACCTACTGACCTGGAGCATCCCAACAAACTCAAGCTGACTGTCACCATGCCTCATGTTGGTCAGTAGCCAAACTAGCCAAGCAAATTTTAGCCTTAATGATGTTTTCTACCAAACCGTGTTTGAATTTAGAACCATCATTTCTCATTTTCTAACAGAAAAGTGATCTTTGAATGACTCAGCAAATGCAATTTTTATACATTGTACATGTTTCTTTTTCTGGTTTTCAGACGGTATGTTGCCAGTGATCTCCACCCGCCAGCTGTCCAACTTTGAGCTTGCCCTGAGCAAGGATGGTTACCGAGTGGGCACCCACCGCTGCTCCAACCTGCTGGACTACAACGAGATCCCCACCGAGTATGGCTTCATCTCTGAGGAGACTAAGAATCCCAACGTTATAGGTGAATCGCAGCCCTACCAGTTCAATTCGGAGATGCGAGGATCCAGCACGCTGCGCTTCTACCGCAACTTAGACCTGGAAGCTTGCCTGTGGGAGTTCACTACCTACTATGACATGTCTGAGCTGCTGAACGAGTGCGGTGGACAGATTGGAACTGATGGACAGGTATGGAAATGGAATGCAGTAGCTTGTATAAAGAACACAAGCATAATGATCAAAATGTAGTTTGCATAATAGTCTATCATTCAGGAGCCTACATTACCAAAGTTGTTCCTGTCAGGTTCTGCCTTAAGTCGAGTGGAAACCTTATCTTTGCAAGCAACCTGTCAGAGTTCTTAAAAATATAGTGTTTCTCTAAGATACTTTGCATAGCTGCTACATATATAAACCTTATTCACTTCCATGACTCAAATCTGATTGTGTGATTCTATTCATGCAATCCTGACAGGTCCTGGATTTGATTCAGTCCTATGTTTCCCTGCGTGTGCCACTCTACGTCTCCAACGTTTACCACTCTCCAGCCAGTGTTGGCGGCTGGCAGCACTTTGATCAAACCTCCAACCTTCAGCTGACTTTCGTCTATGACACCTCCATCTTGTGGCAGAATGGAATTGGCGCCCAGGCACTGTCTGATGAGACTGTCACAGGTGAGTGTGGGTTTAATTCAAAGGGCACATCTTTCTGTTTTAGGATATATTTGAACAAGCTTTAAGAAAAGTACCTTGTGAATTTTTGTTACTTCAGACAATCCTGAATTAGGGTTTCATGTTTAATACTTAATTTTTGAGCATTTAAAAAAATCAATTATTCCATATTTTTTAATATTTCACTTTTGTGAATTTAAGATTTGGAATTTGTTCTTGTTCAGGTTCCCTGTTCCCGACCAGCATGAGGATCGATGAGAATGGCCGTCTGGTTGTCAACTTCCGCACGGATGCTCAGTTCCGTGGTCTGTTTGTCTTGGATCACCCATCAGTTCCGATGTCATCCTCTGTCATTTCTGTGGACCGACCTGAGCTGACCTTTACCCTCAACCTTGTCCGGTCGGAACCTACCTTTGCCCAGCCTGAGCAGATCTGGCAGTTCGTCTCTGATGTTGCTGTATGTCCGTTTGCTTGTTTCTTCTTTTCCCTCCTCTAAGCCTTAATCACCAACTGTGTGGTTCAAGAAATTCTGAAGATCTCCCCACTCAGCCTTTGTGGAAATTTATTTTTCATGTCATTCACAAGTGTGATTTTTAGGACAATCTCCCGAAAGCAATGTCTTGTACTAAGTCATATCTTAAAGAACAAAGCTGTTGACTTACCTTTTCAGGTATATAAGCAGAGACATTACTCGGAGTATAAGGGAAAATGATTGGATTGTAATGCACATTTTGCTCATTTGTTCTGTTCCAGGTTTCAGACTACAGCGGAATGTACACCATCCGTCTCATCCCTTGTCTGACCACGCCCACCCAGGAGTACAGCCTGCCGGTTGTCTGTAACCCGCGGGACATCATCAACTTTGACCTGCCCCTGCGCTTCCAGCAAGTCAGTGATCCTGTGCCGGCCGAGTTCAGCCTGAATACTGAGTTCATGCTGCTTGGCAAGGAGATGCTGTGGCTGTCGGATGGCTCCATGGGCTTTGGCGAGGGAACCGATACTGCATTTGCTCCTGGTGAGTTACCCGCTCACTCCATGCTGAGCTTGGTTTATAGGGTATTTCTCTCAGAATCTGATGAATTCTTTTGTGCGTTACAAAGTTGAGAGGGAAGCACGTTCAGAAAACACCCATTGCATTCAGCACTTTTCACACTTTTTGGAGCTTTATTACTCACTTTCCTTTTTTCCCTGATACTTAATTCCTCAGGTGACACCGTGTTTGGCCGCATCCATGTGGACCCAATTCAAAATCTCGGGGAGGGATTCAACTTGAACGTTGAGAAAGTCTTCCTGTGCACTGGACGTGATGGCTATATTCCCAAGTACAACCCATCCAACCAGGAATATGGCTGTGTGGCTGACTCACCCAACCTCCTCTATGCCTTCAAGATCTTGGTAAGTCAGTCACTAATACCACCTGGTAATTTTTTCATTGCCAAAAGTGCTTTTGTGCATAACTTAATTTGTCACTTAAAAGCTTTATAAATTTGCCCATAGTTGACACTAGGAACTTAAACATATTTCAATAAGTTTAGACAACACCTCCACGTGCATATGGAAAATTAAGTTAATGGATGACCTTTGACTTTTAATTAACATGAAAATGCTTTAAAAAGACTATTTCTTGTTCGTTGAATACCAAAACTTGTGCAAGACTTCAAAGAAAAAAGTCATGATAGGACAAGTTATATTTGCAGTGGTTTTGGAGTAGTTACAAATTTTCCGGGGGGGGGGGGAAGGGGGGCAAATTGACACCCCTCCCAGTTTGTTGATGTTTGATGTCCCTCTTGCTAAACTGAATTTTTGTTATTCACAGTAGCAGCTGTAATACATAGATGGACTAAGAAATGAAGTTATAATGTTTTCTTGTGTTGTTTTTGCAGGACCGCGGAGCACCAGACACTATCACTCCCCGATTTAGTGGAATTCCATTTGATGCTCGCTTGGCTGTAGATGACCCTAATGCCTTGGATCTGGTCCGACAATCTGGGGCTGATGGCTTCAGGCTGAGCAGTGACCCACTCTTCCAGGTAAGAACATGGTGACATCTCTGTGCACACTCCTGCATGCCTGCTGTTTGCTGAGCTTTAAAGGCTAGCTCTGGAGCAAAAAAATCAAAATGGTCTCAAAAGAAATCCTCATAAACTGAATATCATCCAAGTCCCTTCAAAATTTAGTTAGTATCCACTAACATTAGCTCATTATTGCATGACATTTTTTCTCTCCTACTCTATTCATATCCATCTGTTCACTTGTGTTCACTTGCAACTTGAAGCAATCAAGACAGACAGGATTTGATTTCTTGAGGGTTTAAATTGATATCCCTTTGTTAAATTTTGGTTGTGTTAAAGCCTGTCAGAACAAAGAATGAGTTGAGGAACATGCTTTGAATTTTGGTTTTGACTTGTATTTGCAGGTGTCTTCCGGCCGTCAGTGGTATGTGCATGCCATCTTTACTGTGCGCTCCGCTGATAACAACAATATTGGCAAGCGCAGCGTGGAACACCACAGCTTTGCCCAGGCCCCAGCTATCAACAGGCTGCGGCGCCAGGCCATCAGTTCAGTATCTGGTGATGACAGTGACTTGGAACTTGGCGATGGTAAAGGTGTGAACATCAAGTGGCTGGCACTGACCACCAACGCTCGCTCTGCCAATGATATTGACAGCTTGGATGTGGCCGGCAACTTGAACAGTGACAAGAACCCTGCTCCCAAGGATGGTTTCTCCCTGGTGCCCATCGTAGCCACTGTTGCTGTGCTAGTTGTTCTGCTTGTCATTGTGATCTTAGTGCTGGTTGTTCGACGCCGGCGCTCTAATCCTAAGCCGGTGACCGTTGCTGCAGGTGGAGGTGCCACAAAAGTTGTAGCCAACGGCAACTACATGGACGACAATACAGAAGTGTGATGTGGCATTGATGCGTGAGCAAAACGCATTATCATGCTGCTGTGGCACATTTCTTTTTAGCTCTTTCTGTCTGTCTTCTTAACAAGAAGCTATGTTGTGGCTCCCTTGCTGTTAAATAATTTATATTTGTGTAAGAAGTTATGTTTTTTCGAGAGCCGATTTTGTTGTCTTTGGGTTTTTTGTTTTGCTCTTTTTTATGTTGTAGGTTTGGATGGAAGAAATAGCCCTTCTTTAAAGATCCTGAGGGCAGACGAAAGAAAACTTTCAGAAAATTTTCACTTGGTGCTCTGCAGATTTTTTTGTGTTGTAATAATGAATGTAAAATGAATTTTTACCCCTGTGAATTACTAGTTTTTAATCAGCTGTAGGTTTATTTTTTATATATTCACACACGTTGTGGTTTTTGGTGTTATTTTGCTCTATTTTTGTATCATGTAGAACTGTTGTTTCTTTCCCCCGTAGGTAGGTGTTGACTTTTGAGTGGTTTAACCTGCTGGTTATCATTCACAGTTGATTTGACCTACATCAGAAATTGTGTGTTTTCCAATTATTGGATTTTAAATATAAACTGTAATAGTATTTTTAAGAAGCAGTGTTAAAATAACCTTTTCTTTTATATCTGCTATTAACAATTGGTTTTGCCGTCGTGGAACAGACAGTACACTGAGCAGTAGGTTGTATCCCAGTGTGAATTCAATCTCTGAAAAAAAAAAAGATCACCAAGATCTGAGAAAACCTGTCTTAGATATTTTTCTCTTGTTTCAGAAACATTCAGTGGATATTCAGAATTTGTGTTGCTGTTAGGTCTGTGAAGATTTGCCTGTATATTCTTGTATCGCCATTACCGCTGCATCAGTCCCACCCATTTTGTTGTCATGGTTCTGGTCCCACATATTCATGAATTCCTTGGCAACCTAGGGGTGGGTCAGTCTCATCTATTTAATTAACACCTGTAAATAGTAAGTAGTGGTCTTTAAACTATATTCCGTAATAGGCTGCACGCATTTAAAATAATCTGTAGTGGGAAAAAATACAATTTCACACAAAACAAAGAAAACAAGAACAGATGTAAAAAAAAAAACTATTTTACCACACTGTGCATAAGTGTGCATGTAGTTGTAGCTTAGCTCACCATGACATCAGTGAATTTTGAATACTTCATATCAAATTGTTTAGAGTGATGATTTATGATATCATGTGGCATCTTTCCCCATGTGTGACTTGAGGTGACCAGTTTACATGGAAAAATCACCTTGTTACATTTTGAATAAGTATTTCAAAACTTGAATTTTTTTGCAGTGCGAGATGGATATGTTTACTCTGAAGTGATAAAACGTTTCCTGGAACAAAACACAGCCTGCTATGTTCTCGGCATACACTTTGACCTCTACAATTGGACCAAATGTACAAACACTAGCTATCCATACAAGATTTGCCACTTCTTCCTGAATGTGCAAACTGAAATTTCATTTTAGTTCAGTTATTTTTGTTTTGTGGTGGAATGCTCGATACTTTTAGGCTTGTAACTTAATAACATTATTCAACAAATAGTGCACTTAATATCTTATTAAAGAAAATACCCTCTCTAGTGACTTAGAAATTAAATGAAGCTTTCTTGTGAATCAAATCAGAGTTACTTGTTCTGATGGTTGTGAACTCACGATTGTGAACTCACGTAAGGGGGATTTTGCTGGAAAATGCTTAGTGTTTTTTGACTGTTCAATGTCTAGGAACAAAAAGAAAAATATTTACTGGTTTGTATTCCTGGATGAGAGTCTCTGTGGTATTTTTTTTCTTTCTACAGGAAAATGAGTATCACCGAGGTTAGTAGTCCTGAAGCCATTTTGTGCCTTGGTTAGTAAGTTATTAATCCTTTGATGGTGCTGTTTAAAGATAAATTAGAAAAAAAGAGATTACCGTGATTGCCACAGTGCAGAATTCCCAACATTAAAATTTCAGGTACACAATACAATCCTTGCCTTGTTAAAGACAAAAAGGGGTTCACCATAAGGAAAAAAAAGTCTTATCTCCCGAACATGGTCATTTTCCAAGGTGGAAATTTTCCATTTTCCAATTTGGAAGTGAAATTACCTTGTTTTGCAATATGTTGTCAATGATATTTAAAAGAATCAGTTCACTTGCAATGATATTTCTTTTTAATTTTAAGTGGTAACCAGCTTTTATTTGTAATTGAAATACACTCTTATCATTAATTGTTTTCGCTTTTAAAGCTGAGGCGTGGATTTTAAAACTTGCACGATTTCTTTTTTGTTTGTATTATTAAATAAAGTATGCTAAACACACTGTATTTCCTGTAGTAGACGACAGATAATTTCCCCCCATTTATTTGTATTTTACCAATTTTCTGGTGACAGGTTCCTATGACAACGTATACTGTACTAGCATGTACCAGGTGCCAGGGGGTATGCTGCAATGGGATTATTTTACGTCATTAAAATAAGGGCATTGCATTGGCTTGGCGGGAAAAACACACGGTTTTGTGTCTCTTGCAGTTCATTTAGCTGTCTTGTCTTTAGTGTGCTCTTGTTCCAAGGAAAATGACTGTCAAAAGTTTCGTAGAAACCTGAGATTTCTGAGTTCTTACAATTAATTGTTTTTCTCCTCCGTGTAGTTATGAAAAACAATTTTTTGTCACGTTTTATAATTTGTTTTTCCACATACAATGTCACACACATTGTGCATGCTTATTTTTCTTGAGGTACTTTGATTCCATCAAGCACAAACCCATCTTGGGCAAGTGCTAGATATGCAATGACGTCATAGAGCCGTCATTTTCCTTCTTTTTTTTTACCTATCTCCTGAACAAAACATTTTCAAATACATTTGTTTAAAACCGACATTGTGATATGTAAGGTCAACACTTATCATTACCCAGTTTTGGTAGGTATAAATGTTCCCAATTTGCAAAAGAAAAAAGTGACGTTATGATGACGTCACACAAATTCAAGACGAAGCTTCAAATAAATGCACTTGTAGACCGTTAAACAATTTTGAGAACCACTGTCTCTAGTTTTCCCTGTTTTTGCTCTATAATCCTCTCTTCTATATTAAATGTTATGAATTAAAGATTACTATCAGGTAATTGCTGAATAATAATTAGGCAGTTTTAGTTTCCAAAGGAATTCTGTTGAATAATAATAAATCATGCTTAGGACATCTTAGGTAAAGCACATCTTCCAACGAAGGTCTTTCAATGTTGTTTGCTGTTCCTTTTTTTGCATAGTGTTTTCAAAAATCACAACAGATTCTCTTCATTCAAAATTATGCAAGGACCTATGTAAACTTCTAGACGGAAAGACACATTCGTCCAACTTCTGGGAAGTAGCGTCAACAAAGGTTAATTAAATACTTCTAAAGATTCCTCCTAAAAATACATTTTTGAACTTTTAATGCTTAACAAATAACAGCAACACAAAGATGTATATGAGGGTATTTCTGAGTTTTTATGTTGTATTAAGTATGTTTGAAAAAGCACGTGCAATTTGGGGACGGGAATTACAGGGTTTCGTTGCGACCCTGAAGATCTTGCCATCTTTTGCATGCTGGGCTACTTGCGTGCTACGTTCAAAAATATACAATTCTAACCACTGTTGCAACACAGTTCGAGCTGAGAGAACAGCGCCGCGGTGATGTACGCGGTCGTGCAAGCAGTCTTTCCACGTGGCCACAACATGGACGTACGTCCGTGGGCCACGAGCGACCAAACTTATTAAACATGCAAAAGATCTGGATACAAGATGAGCGCACGCGCGCCGACTAGTTCGATAGAAGGGCGCATGCGCGCCAACTTTAATGGTGCGTACGCGGTCGCAATAAGCAGTCTTGCCACGTTGCCATCTGGATACAAGATGAGTGCATGCGCGCCGACTAGTTCGATAGAAGGGCGCATGCGCGCCAACTTGAACGGTGCGGTCGCAATAAGCAGTCTTGCCACGTTGCCATCTGGATACAAGATGAGCGCATGCGCGCCAACTAGTTCGATAGAAGAGCGCATGCGCGCCAACTTGAACGGTGCGGTCGCAATAAGCAGTCTTGCCACGTTGCCATCTGGATACAAGATGAGCGCATGCGCGCCAACTAGTTCGATAGAAGAGCGCATGCGCGCCAACTTGTACTTTTTTTTTGATTGCGCAATCTGACTCGAATCTTTATATATTACTTCCGAACAGTTTAAGTAAGAAGAGCGTGTTGGCCTAGTGGTAGGCACTCTGGCGCTCGGGCCGGAGGTCCAGGGGTTTGAAGGTTCGAATCCCGCCTCGGACATAGTAGGGAGTTTAACTTCTTTTTACTTATACCTTATCAGGGTAAAAAAGTGTAAAACTTCTATTTTATTTTATTTTATTTTATCTTCTTCCCTAGACGACCGCCACGGAACTCGGACCAACCGCAGGCTCACCTGCTTCGGTGGTCTCTGTCCCCGGCCGGACTCGAACCTGGGACCCTCTGACCAGGAGGCAGTATCTCTACCGTCTCCGCTGTTCGGGTCCCCGAAAGACCAATACTCGTTCATATATTTATCTTTGAGACTCGGCTACAAAATTTGAAAATGAAATAGCGCCCTCGCGGCTGGCTTTGCCAGAGTTCATACTCCTTAACGTCCACGCTAGTACTGGCACTTCAGTTCGCTCATTTGGTTTTCAAATATATAGCAACACTAACATACTTATCAGAAAGGCTGGTCCGCCGCAGTGTACCCGAGTCGATCCCTCGACCGGACCAAGAGATTTGTACCACAGCGCCCCCACTGCCTCTTTCTTTCAAGTTAGTTTCCAAGAGAATTGCACTTAATACGTTTCAGAATTTTCAGACCGTCTGGAGGAATCGGTCTCCGGAATCATTGTAGAGATCTGCCACACAGTCACCGCTGACTTAAAATTTACGTGAAAGGTTTAAGAATTGGAACAGATACGTACTTGGTTACATTTGGGCTTAGCTTAGCACAGGAATCACAACATTTGTAACGCGAAGCCATCACCAGGTGGGGATTTTATCACAAGTTATCTAAAATATCAAGCGTACGGAGAGATTAAATCTACGATTAATTTATTTTTTCTGATGCAATGTCTTCCGGAACGACTCGTAAGTAGTGCACATCAGTTGCATATATTCAGACAATTTGAGGATACGCACCCGGAAAGTATAGAACAATCATTACAAATTTATACAAAGATACATTAACAATTTTTGTCACTTAAAAGAAATAAAGCCTACAAACTGCACCCTTAGCACACAGATCCCAGTCAACAGTTATGGGAGATTTGGATACTTGCTGTGAATTTCATGATTTTTTTTTTCATCAGTTCGGGATAAATTTGCTTTAAAAACACAAAAAATATTTTAAAAAATAATTAAGAACAAGGAATTCTGGCAGAATAAACGCGAACATGTAAATAACATGTATATATCACGTAAAGAACTTCTTTCAATTTGTTTTTTCATATTTGCTGAAAGCTATTTTTGCCTTAAATGTGTAGAGAGAATGCCAACATTCTGCATTAAGATTTGGAATTTGGGAGAAATATTTAACTGCTTGGATGTATTTACTTGAAAAAAAAATGCCTCAGGGTACCCCAAATCAATTACATTCACGATTGTGCTGAAAACTAATAATATTGGGTATTTTGTATTTGTCTTTTCACCCAACATCTAAAGCTCCGTGGGAATTCAAAGTGCTCACATTTCTTCAAACTGGCATTTCCAACTTGGTTAATATCAACATAAATAACTGATTTGTAGGTACAGTTAATATTTACTACATGAGAAGTATACAAACAACTGAAATTAATTAAATGAAAGAAATACTGATCAGTTCTCTCAAACAGAAAAATTAACGTTCAAACAGTATGACATCACAGGCATCAGGAAACACAAAATTACACCCATAAAATCCTGTGTCCGTGACTATCCATGGCCATTACAACTGTAAAGTTGTGGAAAGAGGCAACCGAACGACAAAATGTGTCCTGCTGAAGGGCACTAGTACCAGTACCATATAAAAAAATGTCAAGATTTTTTTTTTTCAGTGTTATGGTATTAGGGATAGTATCACCTTTGATTACTATCTAATTACACCTTTTTAGGGCTCTGTCTTTCACGGAATGTCTGTTTATCATTTTTCTGTCCTCTGGCTGGATTGCCCCCGTCACTTTCAAAAGCAAGGGACAAGGTTGATAGTTTTGTCCCCATCACTTTCCAGACAGCATGGATGGTTTTACCTTTGTCACTTTCAAAAGCAAGGGACAAGAGGGATGCTTTCACCCGTCACTTTCAAAAACAGGGTACAAGGGGGATGGTTTCCCATGTCACTTTAGAAAGCATGTGAGCAGGGAAATGGTTTAGACTGTTCAGTTTCAAAAGAATGGGAGAAGTGGGATGGTTTGACACCCTGTCACTTTCAAAATCATGGAATAAGGGGTATGGATTTACCTGTCTTTTTCAAAGAACAGAATAAGGTTGATAGCTTTACCACCGTCACTTTCAAAAGAAAAGGACGACAGGCATGGTTTTTACCCCCATCACTTTAAAAAAAAAAAGGGTGACGGATGGTTTTACCCCCATCACTTTCAAAAGCAAGGGAGAACGGGGATGGTTTTACCCCTGTTGCTTTCCAAAGCATGGTACAAGGAGAATGGTATTACCCCGTCACTTTCAAAAGAGTGGGACAAGAGGGATGGTTAGAACCCCCCTTCCATTACTTTCCAGCATGGTACAATAAGTATGGGTTTGCCCTGGTCTTTTTCAAAACAATGGGACAAGGTGTTACCCCCATCACTTTTAAAAGCAAGGGGAAAGGGGGGTTAGTTTTACCTACGTCACTTTCACAAGTGAGGGAAAAGGGGGATGGTTTTACCTCCATCACTTTCAAATGCAAGTATGTGAGCAGAGAAATGGTTTAGACCAGTCACCTGTGAAGGCATGGCAAAAGGGCGATGCCTTTATCTCCGTCACTTTCAAAAGTGACGGAGAGTCTGACCCCTGTTGCTTTCAAAAGCAAGGGAAAGGGGGAATTGTATTAACTCTGTCACATTCAAAAAAAATGGGAGAAGAGGGATGGTTTTACCCATCACTTTCACAAGCATGGTACAAGAGGTATAGGTTCACCCCCGTCTGTTTCAAAAAGAACGGGACAAGGTTGACAGTTTTACCGCCAGAAGGGGGATGGTTTTACCTCCACTTTAGAAACTTTGGACAAGGGGGAGTTTCATCCCTGTCACTTTCGAAAGCATGGAAGGGGATAGGTTTACCCTGTTACTTTCAAAAGCATGCGACAAGGGGTATGGATTTACCCCCATTACTTTCAAAAGAATGGGACAAGAGGGATGGTTTTACCCATGTCCCTTTCAAAAGCAAGGTACTAGGGGAATTGTTACCCTTGTCACTTTCCAAAGCTTTGGACAAGGGGGATCGTTTTAACCCCCGTCACTTTGAAGAGCATAGTATTAAGCATAGTTGGAGTGGAGTCCTCATATCTGAGTACAGATTACTCCGAGTACTTTTAATAGGGGCTAAGTCCCAGGCTGTGTACTTACACTGGTGAGAAGTCCGAATCCAAAGCACCAAGTACAAGTACATTCAAGGACAAGTACTGGGCCCACTCTGAGTACTGAAGTCTGAGTCCAAGGATGAGTACATGTGCAATACTAAAAAAGGTAAATAAACAGCGCTATGATTTCCTATAGTAAAAGCTGCAGAGGTGGAAACTAGACTAGCAAGAAAGAATCCTTGTACCTAGGGGACGGTAAGCCTTCTGTACGTATTGAAGACTGTGTTGCTTTGCATTGTGTTCAAGGTTGAGTGATGCAAGTTTCACTAAAGTCTGAAGTCCTCTGCGATACAGAAAAACGACGGAATTTCACGGAAAATAAAGACAAAGCGGAATTCCATATTAACTGCCTGAACATGAATACAAGCTTGAAAAATGAACCTAATAACTGTTTTCGTGATTTTTCATGGTGTTGTCTAATTCTTTTTTACTAATTAACTAAAATAAAGATGATAAAAGCTGTACTGAAGCGGTTGCTGGCCAGCCAAACGTACGCAGGCATGTACGTATATGCTGCCGCAATATCACTGGTAACGTCACACAGCAGTACTGCAGTGCCCAGATTTCAATGGGAACCAGCTGATTTCGTGTCAAAAAATGAAGTTTTGGTTCCAAGCAGTTCAATTCAATATATGATAGGCACACTTCATGCAGCAAGTGGCATTATAAAGCCGTCATGCTAGGAATTACCGCAAGAACATCTAGAACCCTACACTATCACATCAAGCGCCCAGTATATATTATGTCCCATAAATAATGTATACATATACTGCGTACAGAGGTCAGTGACTGTGTATGATACAGTGAATGATGCACGTACAGCCATGCTGCCGGCCATGCATCACGTGCGCGCGTTAGCAATTTGACAGTGAAACGTCAACTTGTGATCATCGTGTAAGCCCTATGTCTGTTTTTCGGACTCGGGTTGTTAATACGATTAAAAAATCATGCCAAAAAGGAGTGCAAGCTCAAAGCTTGACGGGACAGTACTATCGGCCAAATACAGAGCTGTAAAGCCCATGTTTTGCAAGGACTTTATGCGGACGGGGAGAAACTATTTTGCAGCTTCTGTCAACACACCGTTGACTGGTAACACTGGGATACATGTGTAGATCATCTTCGTTCTGCTAAACACAAGTGAACAAAGGATGCTTCCAAAGGAATCCCACCTAAACAAAAACAAACCACACTGACATCTTCCGCACATTCTTCGAGTTTGGCAGAGGGGTGTGAATTTCATCTGCCGACATTCCACTCGAAAAGATTGCTACAATGAAGCCATTTTTAAAGAAACAATGTCCCCAAGGGGGGTCATTGATGACAGCAGAAAACTTACTCAACTCATCTGCCACATGTGTATGAGGAACACTTTGAAGCAGTAAAAAAGGAATTGAAAGGGAAGTTGGTGTCTGTCATTGTAGATGAAACCACTGACAAAGGGACAAAGAAGTCCGTAATATGATTGTATGACATTTGGAACGACTGTTCTGATTGATGTGGGTTTTTTTGGATAAATGCAACCAGCATAGAGTAAGTCGTTATGAAATCGTTAACAATGAATGAATGATGATAACACTGCCTACTTTCTTGCAGCTTTTCGTGATTTGTCCAATGTTCTGCCAAATGCAATCCATGGATGTTATGGCCCACATTTTGGATCTAGTTGGAGAAGATCTTGTGAAAGACGAGTACTTTAGTGATGTTCAGCTGTTTGTCAATGACATTAGAAATGCCTTCAACAAGCAGTCAGCATGGAAACAACAGTCTGTCACACATCTAAAAAAAAAAACCAGCCGACAAACTTACCACCAGAACCCTGTGCCCCTCATTGGGGGACCTGGTTCAAGACGGTGGAATACCAGAGTTTGCACTAGAATGAATACGAGACATTCTTCAAAGAGGAAACTTCTGAAGCTGCTGGCATCACCAGAACTCGAGAAGCATTGCAAAATTCAAAAAACATATTGCTGCTGAAAATGACTTTCATTGCAGAATCAGCACCAAAAATTCAAATGAACCCCTTGCAATTGCACCAACTAATGTATTCCATGGTGGATGGAATTATGAACTACCTCATGCAAAGAACCATCAAACCTGTTTTGGTGAAAAACAGACGAACTGTTGTCCAAGTTGAGAATAGTTGACAGAGATTCAGCATTGCAGCACTTCCATGATGGATTTACAAGAACTTTGCTAAAATTCTCCAAGCACACTGGCACAAGCTCTGCAGTGACATTCAACAAAAAGTGCAGAGTTTTTGACCCTCGTCAAGTTGGAATTGTCACAAATGACATCAGCGGGTACACTGCACTTCATGGTCTGAAGGAACCAAATCGAGGTCTTCAAGAAAAATGAATTGCCTGAAGACTTTGATCTGTACAGGTACTGGAAAGGCATGCGCTGTCGCATCCCAACCTTGGCAGAGAAAGCTATTTTGAACATTTGGCAGAGGTACACAAGCGTTGATACTGAGAGACGGTTCTCCCAGAAGAAACAGTTGATGACAGACAGGAGAAAAAACTTGACTGAAGTCCACACTGAGCAACTGTTAATGCTGAAATTTAACGGTGACATTGAAAGTCATTTTAGCTTTTAGGTTCAACTAATGGCAGAAGCCTTTAGCTATTAGTTGCTGTGCACATCAGCATGTAACGGAAAGCAGGAGCCTAACCAAATTTGGATTTTAGAAATGGGAAACTTAGGACACTAAGTTTCACTCATGCCAACCAGGGCTCTAGCCAGGATAAAATTAAAGGATAGGGGCATCTGCACAACTGGACATTATTTGACACCTGGAGGTGCTGTTTAACATTTATTATGTTACATATAACAACTGTGTTTTAAGCCCCCATCACCCCATTCAATTTGAGACTAACTTCTACCCATTTTTCCATTTGTTTTTTCATCGGGGAGGGGGGTTTGCCTTGTTTATTTGTTGTGCTTTTGCTAGGGGAGGGGCAAATGGGTGTATGATATATGTTTCATTACTGTACAGTAGTAGTTTAGATGTGCTTGTTCTTTTTTGAGAAGCTCCATGATAAGAAATTGTATGGATGTGCATCAATGAAAAATAACCAATACCGGGTTCTTAAACTTTTGTCAAAAAGAATATAAGTTACCATCATTCCTCTTATTACCACAAGGCTATGGGTCATGTATAAAGCGAATGTTTGTGCTTAAAAATAATAAAAAGGTTTGTTCTTAATATAACAAACATACACTGCCCGATGTGCCGGATACGGTGGGGGGTGACTGGATATTATTTGACACCCGGGGGCGCTGTTCAAAATGTATTACGTTACATATAACAGCTTTGTTTGAAGCTCCCATTACCCCATTCCATGTCATTCAGTCATTGTAGGAGGCAAAATTATCAGTTTTACACTGATTTCTACCCTTTTCTCTACTTTTTTTTGGGGGGGGCTTTGCTTTATGTTTTGTTTTGCTTAGGAAAGGGGCAAATGTCTAATACATGTAAGTATCTGATCCACATTTCATTACTGCACAATTGTATTTTACATGTGCTTGTTCTTGTTTGAGAAGCTCCATGGTACGAAATTGTTTGGATGTGCATCAATGAAATATAACTAGCTTAATAGGCCTTCACCTCGCCTCACCTCGGGTATACAAAAACAGGCTCGCCTACTTGGAAATTAACTTTTCACCTAGGCCCCTACCATTGTTTGTATTTTCTTGCTAGGTTCTAAAACTTTTGTCAAAAAGAATATGTCTGTATGTCGCATGATCATTCCAAACTTATTCTCATTATCAGAAGGTTAGATGTTTGTGTTGAAAAAAGTAAAAAATTTGGTCTTAAAATAACGAACACACACTACCAAAAAATGAATGAGAAGGATTAACGATACCGAAATTACGAAGGAAATGTGAAGATCCATACGAAAACACTGCAAGACTGTGCATGGATGTGGTACAGTACTATGCACGCAACACCGAGACAGTGTGTGTGCCAGGGTCTTACCAAAAATCATCCTCATGAACCACGACAAAGTATTTCACAATAACCATCGATATTAATGCATTAGAAGAAACTACAGGGAAAGAGCAGGTTTGTGACAAGTTAGCTGTAGCTTTCTTCAATCAGTTTTCGAGGCGTACTATGAAAGGATCGGGCAACCACCGTGCTGCCAGCCATGCCATCGTGGCTTCCAGACCCATCTACACTTGTATTACATTGTCAGCAGCGCTGCAGGAACCAGTATTGTTCTTGCCGCGCATGAGTGATTTTCCACAGAACTGTGAAAACTTGGGTGTACATGTACGTACTTTTGTGTGTGTACGACCTCGCTGGCTATGCTGCGTTGTGGTGCGTTGGATTTTGGTGCATATTGCCGATGTTCTGGTGACTTTTCATCGGTGTTTTAAAAGAACTTTTTTCAAATTTCTGATTGCAATTTTTAAAAATTTATATTAGCAACTCTTCCCATGGAATATAGAAACGTATCAACTGCGTATCGGACGATTTTCAGCGTGTCGGGGTTTTGCTCAGCCTACCGGCCCAATATGCTTTTGAATGCCTGGCTAGAACACTGTCTCTGGATTTTCCAGATTTTAAAGAGAATGTTTGAAAAATCCTGAAATCAGGAAAAAGCTGATGAAAAAAATCCTGATATCAAGAAATATCCTGACAAATCTCACCTCTGATTGGACAAGGGGGATGATTTACCCCTACCACTTTTAGAGCCTTGGTTTCCCTCCTACTTTGAATCTTCACTACAGAGACATGAGTAATGTGCCCCTCCCATAGGGTCGAATAAAGCAGTTGAAGATAGCAAATCAGTGGCATTATCTAGTCTCTTGGTAAATAAGTTGAGCACATGACTTCATTAAAACTATAATTGCATAGAATTTTCTACCTCGTTAAAATGTGGCTTCCCTGAGTTACTTTACAATATATGGCCTGTGAAACAGCTTGTAGGTGGTGTTGTAGACTGAGGGGAGTTCATCGATGGCTATGTCGATCCTGTCAAAGCCGTCCCTGAGACCACACATGACCAGGTTGCTCATTCGTACCGTAAGTGGTGAGTGATCCTCCTCTGAAGCCAAAATGTCTGCCACTTTCATCCAGCGTGCATCCTCCAGCTCAGTTGGGCAGATCTGAATGTCATAGGTCAGGGGTGCCAGACGGCAGACAACGTAGATGTCTGAGCAACCAAAGGCCCCTGGGTGATTGTGCTGCTGGCGGAATGACAAGATAGATTTGAATTCTGAAAAGAAAGGAAAAGATACAGGCACATTAAATTAAAACATAAGTAATAAGTACCTAAGACAGTTTAGTTATTCCTGTTTGCCAAGAACCGACACGTGGCTGGTCTTAATTTAATTAAACGATGGATAAAGCACTGGCTGGCTGTGTGCCAACCGCTGTTGTTTTTCTTGTGTCCACCAGACCCACAAAACAAACTTTTTCTGCATTCAAATTGAAATACACAATAAATACAAAATGAGACCTTGTCTCTATGATATACTGTATATGGGTCTAATTCTAGAACAAGTGTATGGCTGAAAAATGTCCTCCTTTGTTAAACTGAATTTTAATGTAGCAAATAAACTTGAAATTGAAAGTGGCCACAGGGTTTTTGCAAACACTTCAATGTGAACTTAAAACTAATATGTAACTCACTGCAAGTCTATGAAATAATTCAAACTACAGAGGGCACTGTAACAATATTTTGAACACAAATATGCTGGTATGAGTGCTGTTTGTCAAAAGAGGGCACTCTTCAATATTGCCACACAAACTTCTATCCAGTTGAGGAAAGCCCATTAATCAGATTTTAGTCAAAATTACACCTGTATCTTCCTTTTCTTGGTACAACTACAAAAAAGTCACTATTCAGGACCACATAACCACAACAATGTATGACCAGATGAATGAATCTTCAGGCCTAGTATGTTTTTAACCTGCTTCAGTCTTAAACAAACTGAGATCTGTGCTTCGATGGATCACTTTAGTTTGGTGTCCTGACCAAAGTGGACATAATCTGGGCGGAAAATGTTGAGGGTTTCTATTGATTTCAGTTGGCTCTGGCTCTGGTAATTTTGTGAGCAGATTTCAGTCAAGAGAATGAAAAGGATTGGGTGATTCATGTGTATACCCAACAATTTTACTGCCCTCTTGAGACCATGCATAAGAGCCAAGCACAACTAGATCACCCACTTTGTTGGTCTAACCTGTCTGAAGCCCCGTCTCCTCATTGACTTCCCTGATGGCTGTATCCTGAATGTCCTCCCCTGGATTGGACAGACCACCGGGAAACTTCCATCTTACCAACTAAAGAGAAGAACAATACTGGTACGATTAGGGGAAAAAACATTGCCAAAGGAGATACTGTAGCACTGAAGACCTGTACAAATATGATGGGGAAAGGCTTCCATCTTCTACAACGTGTACGGCAAATCATAATGGACCAATTGCACCCGCTAATGCACATCGACCCCATAGCAACGTGGTTTTGAGTGTCGTTTACAAACAATTTATGAAACACTTTGCTTTTGGTGGATGCTGTTTTTGTTGATACTTAATACCCACTATAAGTCACATGACTTAGCAGGCACAGTTAGTCTATTGTAACCACTTGTGAATTTAACCTTATATAGATGGGGGGGTCAGTTTGACCCCATAGAAATTTTCCCATTTCTCCTAAACCGCTTCAAATATCAAATTGTCCTTTCATGACTTCTTTCTCTGATTCTCTGAAGTCTAATGCAACTTTTGATACTGCATTTGAAAACATCAGGAAAGGGGTTAGATGGCAATGAAAGGTTATAGGCCTGTGCCGGGTACCCGGGTACCCGGGTACCCGTCGATTTAAAAACCCGGTTCCATTTTTCCGGGCCAGGTACCCGTAAAAAAGTAAATAAATTAGGAACAAACATTCGTGCATAAAATGTCTGCGAAATTTCTTACTAAAGGACAGACTTCATGGAAAACCACCGTGCCGATGAAAACCCAGTCCCACGGTCGTACATGAAACTTGAATTCGGAGATCGACAGCTAATTTTG